ACAAAGATGGTGGTGCCCACAGCCGATAAGGAGGGAATATGCTAATTTGACTGTCACACCTTCAAAGATGGCGGTACCCACAGCCAATAAGGAAGGAATATGCTAATTGACTGCCATGCCTTCAAAGATGGCAGCGCCCACAGCCACAAGGTGGTTGGTGCCCAGTCCCCTCAGCCTTGCCAGGGGGCAGGCCCAGCCACTCCGCACTCTTGCCTCTGAAGCCCCCCAGTCCCCTAAGCCCTGCCAGCCACCCAGGGCCAGCCTAAGGCACAGGCAAGCCTTGGATGTTGGCTACTCAGCTGCCCAGGGCCACCTGTGGCTCAGATAAACAGGGATGGCCAAGGTTTGCAGCAGCAGAGGTATGATGGGGGCATCACCTTCCCTTGATCGTTGGTTATCTTCCACCCATGAGGGTTCCCAGACTGTGAGAGGGGGCAGGCCAGCTTGAGGTGAATTTTCAAGCACCAGGCCTCTAGTACAAAAATAAAGCCAGCCGAGACCGGTTTGGCTCCATGGATAGAGCGTCGGCTTGGGGACTGAAGGGTCCCGGGTTCGATTCTGGTCAAGGGCATGTACCTTGGTTGCGGGCATATCCCCAGTAGGGGGTGTGCAAGAGGCAGCTGATCGATGACTTTCTCTCATCGATGTTTCTAACTCTCTGTCTCTCTCCCTTCCTCTCTGTACAAAATCAATAAAATATATTTAAAAAAATAAATTGTTGATTATGGTATGCTCAGGTGTGAAAACATAGGATAAACTATTTTGAATAAATAAAGCCAAACCATAGTTGAAAAGAATTCAAATGTTTATGAAACTCATTCCTGGGAAGGAGCATTTGGATAAACTTATGAAAAATTTCTATCTTTTCCCCTCTTCTCCTGAAATGTGTGTTTGTATAAATATAAATGCAAAATTTGACTTTATATTTGAAAATTATCCTTTTTGCTTTCTGAAGGTATTGGTAAAAACCAATTAATCAAACAACCAAGCCAAACCAAACTCCCTAGGTTTTCACTGAAGAAGGTCTAGGTTCAAATACAAGTTTTGTTAATGGGACACTTAACTTCTCTGGGGAAGTCACTTATCCTCTCTGAAGCTTAGCTTCCTGAACAGTAATAATGGGTTATTCATGATTTACATCTCCAAATCGTTCTGAGAATCAAATAATATAAAGTGAAAAAGCTTTGAAAGCTGCTTTACAAAAGTAAAGATTGTAATTTATTTCTTAAAAAAACAATCTTTATTGTTGGAAGTATTATATATGTCCTTTCACCCCTCCCCCCTCCCCATTGACCTCTCCCAGCCCGCCTTCCCCCACCCCTGTCCCCTAGACCAGGCATCACCCCCTTATTGCCTGTATGTGTCCATTGGTTACGCTTATACTCATACAAGTTCTTTTATTGGTCTCTATCTTCTCTCTCCCCTCCCCTCCTGCCCACCCTCCCCTGCCTTCCTTTTGAGGTTTGATGATCTGTTCCATGCTTCTATGTCTCTGCATCGTTTTTTGTTCATCAGTTTATGTTGTCCATTATTTTCCACAAATGAGTGAGATTATGTGATATTTATCTTTGACTCTCTTATTTCTATTAGCATAATGCTCTCCAGGTCCATCCGTGCTGTTGCAAATGGTAAGTGTTCCTTCTTTTTTTACACCGGCATCGTATTCCATTGTGCAGATATACAACAGTTTTTTAATCCACTCATCTGCTAATCGGCACTTAGGCTGTTTCCAAATCTTAGCTATTATAAATTGCACTGCTGTGAACATAGGGGTACATATATTCTTTCTGATTAGTGTTTCTGATTTCTTAGGATATATTCCTAGAAGTGGGATCACTGGATCAAATAGGAGTTCCATTTTTAATCTTTTGAGGAAACTCCATACTGTTTTCCACAGAGGCTGCACCAGTCTGCATTCCCACCAGCAGTGTATGAGGATTCCCTTTTTTTCACATTCTTACCAGCACTTCTCATTTGTTGATGTGTAATTTATTTCTTAAAACAAACAAACAAACAAACAAACAAACAAACAAAAAATACTAAATAGTTCCTCTTCCCCAAAAGAAGCTGAGGTGACTTATATTTATAGATTACTAGATAATAAGTAGAAAATAAAGATAGAAATATAAAATAACTCATCATTATATTCTTTATAGTTATTAGAAATTGGTCTTAAATTTGGCTATAAATTTCTAGTAGATAAATCAGAGATAAATATTCATTTACCATAGTCATGAGTCGGTCAGACAAAAACATCAACTAGCAATTTCTGTGTTTATTAAATTGGGGTACCAACGAAGAGGGATTGTTGATTATGGTATGCTCAGGTGTGAAAACACAGGATAAACTATTTTGAATAAATTAAAACATTTTTACATTAAAGTAAAGAAATGTCATTTATTTAAAACTTTTGAGTATCTATTATGTAACGGATATCGTTCTAGGAACTGGAATACAATGAGAAACAAAGGGACCTTGATCTCATGGAGTTTATATTCTAGGCCACAGCAATGGTTCATAACTGGATCAGAATGAATATCCTTTTTACTCTGCAAAAATGAAATTCACAGATAATCAACCTACACATAATTAAGAGCTAACATAACATCCTTTTATTTAAAGGTCAAATAAAAGGGAAATAATTTCTAATAAAGCAATATTCATTTGAAAATGTAACTAAATACCTAAGCATGACTACACCTAAAGATATAATGAAATAGGCAAGTATTTGCATCTACTTATAAAAATAAATTTGGATTAAAGAGAAGTAAAAACAATAGTCAACTTAATATCATTTAAAAAAATATTTGACATTTTGAAATAAGGACTAAGTAAATATATTGCATCAATATGCACCATATACATGCATTCAACCATTACAGATGCAGAATGTCACAGGAATGTGTCTCAAACACCACAGACTGCATTGCCATTATTTACATGATTTTCTGACATGAAAAGCAAGTTTTTCTAGATTAAAGAGAGCATACTATTCCTGGAAATTTCAGTTTATATTAAAACTGGCTGGAAGTATTTTTTATTTATGTAAAATACATTTATGTGCTCGGCTCAGATAATTACAAACAGGTTTTTACTGACCTCAAGGCCCGGCGGGACACTGAAAATTCATGTCATGGGCCAGTTGCTTGTGCAGCCTAACTTAAAAAAAAATAAAATTATCACAGGATATCTAGCTTCCCTGACTCCCACCTACAAAGCACCAATAGTGGCCCTCCTAACTTTTTTCTCTCCCCTCCTATCTTGTTGAAAACCAGAAAACAGCCCCACAGATGCTCAAAATACTCGCAGAAGGTGGGGCCCCGTTTTTGATCACTAGAAAACCAAAAATAAATAATTTAGAGACCTTTTGTGACAGGAAGGAAAAAAACAGTGCAAGAGTGGGTGGCAGCGTTTAAACTGAGACGTGAATGGTGAGACAGGGACAGCCTTGCAAAAAGCTGGGGTAAGAACATTCCTGGCAGGGGAACAATCCAAAGGCTGTGAGTTGGGAAAACAACTTGGTATATTGAGGAGTAGAAAGAATATGGTGGTTGGAGCTAGACTAGAAAGGTAGAAAGCACTGACGTTTTAGGGAACAGGGATGGGGAGAAATTTCCCAATTATTTTTATGTGATATTGAAAGGATAATTATCAGCAGTCCAACTTAAACTACATTTACTATCTTTGTGGCTCCTGATCATTTTGAAGATGTGCCTTTCCAGTAAGAGGAATAATCTTTTCCAAAGCTTACAATGGACTCTTGGGTTTTGTATCAGATTCCAGTTACATCACTGTGGCAGGTTCCAGATGGGCAAGGCTCTGAAATTCCTTGTCTTTCTCTCTCTTGGGACCCATTGGTATTCCTTGTCAAGATCTCTTCCTTGGAATTCAGAGCCCCCTTCCCTTTCCCCTGTCCCCCAACAAAAAGAAGTTTGATAAGGATTCACTCATTGGAAGTAAAATGATCTTTATTGCTTTTTCTGATTACAAAATACGTAAGTGTCATCCCAGGATTTTTTTTTTTTTTTTTTTTTTTCCTTTCTAAAATTCAGGTAGACACATACCTAAACCAGCAAATGGTGGAAGGGGGTCTCATGTCTTATCCTGAGAACTTCAAACTTTAGTCATAGGCAAAGAGTTGGTACCTCATTTGTCCTTCTGAAAAATGGAACCATCAGGCCACCAATTCCTAGGTGGGGAAAATCCTGAGCAGTAAAAAACAAACAAACAAACGACAACAACAAAAACCTCACAGCCTTGTGACAAGGGACTGAAAAATTCAGTCTGATATAAAATATAGAACTCAAATTTAAGGGAAAGCCTACTCTACCAAAAGAACAAATCGCTCAATTGGACCTTTGTTGTTCCTATAGACACTCCTCGTGGCTAAGTAATCTCATCTGGTTTTTAAATGTCCCTCCACTTCCAGACGCTGTCCGCTCGCTTCCTTTCACTACCTCTTTCTCCCAATCCTGGCAGCACCTCCAGGCTCACGGTGCCCTCGGAAGGACGGACAGGGATTAATTAGTCTATCCAGTCCCGCTGGGTTTCGGTCACTGTTACTTTCACTGATGTTTTTTGCAGAAAAAGCAGGTGTTTGCAGGGTGGACAGGCTATGTGGTCGTCCGCGGTGGCTCCAGCCGCCATAGCCTCAGAGCGTGGCGGAAACACCCTTGCACGGTCATAGACCAGAGCCAGGCAATGAGGGCGAGGTGGGCGAGGTGGGCGAGGTGGGCGAGGGTCGGCAGCCGACTTAGCCCGGGGTGTGCAGCGCCCATAGCGCCCTCCGCAGCGGCGGGGCTCCGAGGAAACCCGGCCCCGCCCCCTTCCGCGTGGGCCCGCGGCCCCGCCCCGCAGTTTGTGTCACGTGCCGCGCCGCCGCCCAATCAGCGCCCGCTGCGCGCTGGCTCGCGATTCAAACAGCGGCTCCGAGGGTTCACGCAGGTCCGCGGTGTCGCCGCTGCCGCCGCCGCCGCCGCCGTTGCCGCCGGGCAAAGGCCATGGAGCCCCGCATCGTGGGGCCCGGGCCGTACCGGGCCACCAAGCTGGTGAGTGAGCGAGACGGGGCCCCCGATTCCCCGGCCTCCCCGCCGGCGGGTCGCCTTCGCTTCTCCAGGGCAGCCCGGGCGGGGGTTTGGAGGCCGGGCCGGGGTTTGGGCCGGGGTGTTGCTCCAAGAACGGACCACGGGCCCCGGAGCCCAGGCCATCGGGGGGTCGCATCTTCGTCCCCGAGATGTCGGAGGTGCTCTCGGCCATCCGCGGCACCTCCCCATTTCTCAAATGGAGCCGGGAGGACCAGGTGACCCCCTCTCCCAGCCCGTTTGTCCTCAGTAATCAATCCCACGCCAGCTGCCCGGAGCGGGGCAAACCCATTTCTCACCGCAGGGACCCTCCTGCCGTCAGGGCAGGGCGTGTCTCCGTCCCGAGAGTCACTTGTGGTGACAGCCTGGGGTTCTTTCTAACGGTGCCTGGAACAGAGGTGGGTCGCCCTGACCGCATTTCCGGTTCCTGGCGTTTCTGTGTTGTTTTTGTCATTGACATAAATGAGGGGGTGGGCCGGTTGGTCTAAGAGCCTTTGCTGATGGTCCAGGGCGCTGCCTTGTGTCCTGGGAGAAGAGCTTTGGTATTCAGGGACACTTATTTTGATTTCTCTTATGACCTGGGGCAAGTAATTACAGTGATTTCTGTTTCAGAGGGTTACCATAAAGCAGTGTTTCCCAAATTTTGACATATGTGTACCCCTTCTATAATTTTCGTAACACTGAGTACCCCTCGTACTCATGAGAACGTAGAATTAGGCGCAGCTAAGCACGGTGCAGTGCATATCCCCACAAACTCCTGTGCAACGCGTATCCCCACCAAACTCTTCCCGTACCCTTGGGGGTACGCGTACCCCACTTTGGGAAACACTGCCATAAAGGAACAACTGATGACAATTTGATATGTGCGGCAGGTTCTCAGACAGCTTTCTATGAAAGCGGAACGGTGATTTGGGAGGAAGGGACCTTTCTCTTGTGTCTGTCATCACTTACGGTCACTTGTTAACTTGGGAATTAGTCTCCTTGTTCTGTGCGCCCTAATGGACATCCAGGAAATGACGGGAATTAAGTTCCAACCTCTGATTCACCTAGACTTGCATATGTGGAAGAGATGAGGACAGTGGGCCAGGGGGAGGTATAATTAGGGTGTCCTTTTCTTTCTGGAACCAGTGTCACAGTGGCCCGTGGGGTCAAGCCAGAGTTAAGAAAGCCAGCTTCTGAGTGAAATCATGATTGGGGCAGATGATTGTTTAATATTTTATTTGGCTCATAGACCACTTTGAGAATCTCTCTTTTGTAGGCTAGTGCACATGCCACGTACCCATGAAATTATACATAGATTTCAGAAGACTTGGAGAGTGTGGCATTGTTTTATTTAGCTTTACCATCTACTTGCCCACAGTTTTGTGTGTCAGCCAATCTGGACTGGGCTTATGTCAGTGTTTTTTTGTTGTTGTTGTTGGAGCCACTCATGTGCCACTATCATCTAGTGACTTGACTAGGAAAGAAGAACCCTTGACTTGGTTCTGGCTGTTGGCTGGGCCAAGTGTCTTCACATAGTGGTTCAACATCACCAAAAGAAGGTTTCTGCCTGTAACTTTTTGTTTAGATCTCACTGGTCAGAGCAAGTCAAACAGCTAATTCCAGATTGTAGAAATTCAGCTCCACTTTTCTTTTTTGTTAAATTAAATTTTTTTCCAATTACAAGTTGACATTTAATATTTCAGGTATACAACATAGTGGGTAGACATTTATATAACTTAATGAGGTGATCCCTCTTCCCGGAAGTCTAGTACCCATCTGACATCATACATAGTTATTACATTATTATTGACTATATTCTCTATTCAGTTCCACTTTTTTTTTAATCTTTAAAATATATTTTATTGATTTTGTACAGAGAGGAAGGGAGAGAGACAGAGAGTTAGAAACATCGATGAGAGAGAGTCATCAATCAGCTGCCTCTTGCACACCCCCTACTGGGGATATGCCCACAACCAAGGTACATGCCCTTGACCGAAATCGAACCTGGGACCCTTCAGTCCCCAAGCTGACGCTCTATCCATTGAGCCAAACTGGTCTCGGCTTTTTTAAATCTTTACCTGAGGATATTTTGTCCATTGCTTTTCGGAAAGAATGGAAGGGATGGAGGGAAGGAGGGTCCAAGGGATTGAGGGACTGAGTGGAGGAGAGACAGAGAGAGAGAAACATCGATGTGAGAGAGACACATAAACTGGTTGCCTCCTGTACGTGCCCTTACTGGGGGTGGGGAGCGAACTCGAAAGCCAGTACATGCTCTTGACTTGGAACCGAACCTGAGACCTCTTTGTTTGAGGAACTGTGCCCTAATCACTGAGCACACTGACCAGGGTTGTTTTACTTCTTTCTGGATAGATTTGCAGTCACATTGCAGAGGTATCTGTGAACAGGATGGGAGGAGTGTTTGCATTCATCTTTGCAAACACTCTACTACAGACATCCAGAAATGATTCATTAAAAAAAAAAAAAAAAAAAAAAAAACAACCAACAAATACAAATACAAATCTAAGTTTTTCTTTCTGCTAGCCTCAGATATAGATGGTGATGGTAGGGAACAAATAGGGTGTTTTAAAAACAATGTTGTTTCTGCTTCCACTTCCCAGTTGTTTCTACTATTTGAAACCATGTGGTAGGTCCCATGTCAGGGATGAATTACAGATTGTGCTTTAACAGGGTCTTTCAAAAACTTTAATCTCTTTTGTAGAAAGAAAAGAACACATCCTCCCTCCCGTCTCCACCAATATATTCACATTTATGCAAGGAAAACAGAGAGAAGCTCTGGATATTGGCACTTCTCCTTTCTGCTTTAGACTTAAAAAAAAAATTACATCATAATTGGAACTGTTTTTTAAATCTCATATTCCCAGAAATGTATGAAGTATACTTTCATAGATGCAGAGTGCCTATGTATTAGTACTTGATTCTGAATCACATTAAAGTATTATCAAAGGAGGCTAATCTGAGGAGCATGCCCTAGCCTCTCCTCACCTCTCTTTCCTCGCACTTGCTCTCTCTCTCTTTCCCAGAGCATGCTGTGCCTCTCCTCCCTCTTTCGTCCCTCAAGGCATGTATCTCTTTCCCTTTCTCCTAAGCTTCAAGGGCCCTTCTACTACCTCTGTAACTGTCTAAATAAACTTTCCCTTGTAAAAAAATGTACATTATCAAAAGAGTTTATAAAGAAAAGTGTTCTTATTCTCCAGAAATCTTCATTCTCCAAGAAGTGGTGCTCAAACCTACTTTAGCAGAAATTGATAAAGTTAAGCAGAAAGTTAAATTATGTGAATAATTAATGAAAACACCTCAGTTTCACCAGAATTTCCAGATAGTCAATTGAGTTCTAAACTTTATTCTATTTGAGAAACTTGATCTTAAACTAAGATTTTGAAAACATAGGAACAGTAGCCAATTTCTTTTTAAGTGAGAATTCCTGATTTGTCAGTGATAACACTTCACAGATGCTCCCCCCCCCCCCCAATTGTGAAATATAAAAGTTTCTCTGAGCAAAATTCAATTGTGCCTTAAAGCTTTTACCCAGTAAATCATAAAGCTTGTGGTGTTTTTTTCTCTACTTTCCTTCTCCCACTCCCAGCTTACCACTTTCCCCTTCTCCCAACTTCTCCTTCAACCTAATCTTAAGGAAAATCTTTGGAAAGTCTATTAGCAACCAAAGAGCAGGCCTTTACTTGCTCCTGTTATGACACATTATACTTTCTCAAACCACATACAGCTCCATTTTCTAAAGCACCAACAAGTCTTATCTGAAAATATCATTTTAAAGACTAGGTAAATTTGCCAAAAATCAAATGACAGACTTATAAGTCAATTCATGATGAATATGGGACCTAATTAGCAACTTATTCATCACAACTAAAATAGCTTTCATTTTTGTAATCACATATAAATAGTTAATTATTTTAAGAGAAATGGTGAGAAAGAAAATTGCTTTTACTGAAAATTGCTTTTGTTGATCCTTTGAACTTAATTTTGAGTTATTTGTATCATCTGATGCGACTGGTGAACTTGAAAAGACTTACAGCTGTCATTGAATCTGAGCGCTAGAATGCCCTCCAAAGATTGCTTGATTAAATCCCCTTATTTGACTGAGGCCTAAAGGGATGAGTGGACTTGATCAAGTTCACACTGCTAGTAATGGCAAGTATAATTAGATCTAGAATTTTGTTCTGAGTTCCTGCCCAGGTGCTATACTATTATAGTAGTTCTATAATAATGATATTAGTAATAAGAAAGAAGGAAATGGGATAAATATTCTGGAAGAAAGAACAGGAAGCACATTTCAACCGTTAGTGTTGTATTTTATAGTTTAACTCATGTTGTTAAGCAAAAACAGTTGTGCTGTATGACTATTTTTTAGATTAGGGGACTGAATAAATAAGTAAAACAAAAGGTTTTTAAATCAAAACAAATCTGTCCTCTTATAAAGATTATTTCTTCAAATATAGCATGTTATAAGAAAATCATATTCTCAAGCTCTATCTTGTTCTTTGTTGAAATAGGATATTTTCTTCCTAAATGTAAGTGAGGTTTTGTTCAGTTTCACTCAATGGATAGAACATCGGCCTATGGACTAAAGGGTCCGGCTTCAATTCCAGTCAAGGGCATGTACCTTGGTTGCTATCTCCTCCCTGCTCCCAGGCCCCCAATCGATGTGTTTCTCTCACATCGATGCTCTGTCTTTCCCTCTCTCTTCCACTCTTTCTAAAAATCAATGGAAAAATATCCTTGGGTGAGGATTAAAAAAAAATGTAAATGGTGAATTAAAGATGATTATTTTTCTCTATTGGCAGAGTAGCCAAATAACCATCTCATATAATAAAGAGATAATATGCTAATTAGCTGAATGACCTTCCAGAATGACCATCCGGAATGACCAGTTGGCAGGGCCGAGAGGCCATGAGGGCTTTGAGGGCTGAGCCCCTTGCATGAATTTCGTGCATTTTTAAAGACTATAGGCACCTTGACCTATCAGAGATTTAAACTTAATATTAACTGTAATTACAGAGTATAGTATTGTACAGGAATGACACATATCAGTGAGATAGAAAAGAGTTTAGAATCAGGAAAGGTAACTTAACATTTTAATTCAGTTAGAAAATGATGGCATGATTGGCTCTCCATTTGAAAGAGAATAAAGTTAGAGCTCTCCTACCTCACATCATAAAGAATTTCAGTTAAAGTTTCGAATCTATCTGTATAATAGAGGTATGCAAATTAGCCAGGACACCATAACATCATGACCAACAGCAGGGACCTGAGGCTGCATGGCACCTGGCCAGGGCGAGGGACCTCAGGCCATGCCCCCTACCTTAGTGCTGGGCTGGGGGACCTGAGGCTATGCCCCCTCTATAGAGGGGTCTGACGGGTGGGGTGGGCCGGGTTCAATGGGGATGGGGCCAGCTGGGTCTGGGTCCTTTGCATTTTCGAAGCACGTGCAGGTGGTGGGCGAGGACTTGACTCTGGGTCCCTCGGTGTGCCCCAGTCTCTGACAGGAGGGAGATCTTCATATACATTTTACTAATTTTCTTTCATCTCTGACACTTCTATTATAGAGAAAGGGCAAATAGCAATATTAAAAATTCCCTCTAATTAATTCCCTTTTACATGTATCTTTTTTATTTTATTGATTTTTTACAGAGAGGAAGGGAGAGAGATAGAGAGCTAGAAACATCAATGAGAGAGAAACATCGACTAGCTGCCTCTTGCACACCCCCTACTGTACATGCTCCTGATCTGAATCGAACCTGGGACCTTTCAGTCCGCAGACCAATGCTCTACCACTGAGCCAAACTGGTTTCGATTAATTAATTCCCTTTTAATGTGCATGAATTTTGTGCAGTGGGCTACTACTATTAAAATAAAATCACTCTATGATATTAAAAGAAAAATTTAATAAATATTTTTAATATCTCAGACTGGGGAAGCTTTCTAAGTAAACCCTGTAACCATAGAGAAAAAAAATTGTATTGTTTCTTAAAACAACAAAATTAATAACGAAACCTTCCCAAAGCTAGAGACCATATAATGCCTTTCATGGAATAAACGCTAAACGATTGCTGAGTCAAGTAAAGTCATATGAAACATAGGATTCAAGAAGTGAATTAAACATATTGATCTCAGTTTACTATTATTTTTTATCATATGTTTCTTATTAATGTAAAAATGTATTAAATTCATATTATAGGACAACTTGATGGCAATATCTCCAGTAAATATTTATTGAATAAATTCATTTTAAAAATTTACTTTTTCTTTAGAGTGTGAAGCTTGTAAATATATAAATTTCAAGGCTCTGTCTGTTATTTAGACAGCCTCTTAAATGGAAAAATTGCAATTGTTGTCTGAAATATTTTGGATGCAATAATCTGAAAAAAAAATCAGTTGATTACTAAATGCCTTTCTCTCTTTTTTCTCCCAGTGGAATGAAACCATTGAGCTTTTTCGCACTAGGATGCCATTACGAAAACATCGCTGTCGTTTCAAAAGTTACGAACGTTGCTTCACAGCGGCTGAAGCTGTGGACTGGCTGCATGACCTGCTCAGGTGCAATCAGAACTTTGGCCCCGAAGTGACCCGCAAACAAACGGTGCAGCTGCTAAAAAAATTCCTGAAGAATCATGTTATCGAAGACATCAAGGGCAAATGGGGTCAGGAAGATTTTGAAGACAACGGTCACTTGTATAGGTAACAGCAACCAGTAAACTGTGAAGGGGAGGAGTATGGGGAGGATGAATGGATCTGTCAGAGTCAGAAACTTCCTCATGTGAAGGAATTTATCTTGTCCCTTGGAGGGCTGCCTCTCCTGTGGTTTGTTAAGTGTAGACCTGAGTGAGTTGTTACAATAAAACCGATTGGAATGTTTCCTGACTCCATAGAGCATCCCATAGCAGTCTTTTGCTGCGGTGACTTTAAGTAAGGAAATCTTTCCATGCCTGTAAGGATGCCTACCTTAGCTTAGTACTTGTTCTAGGGGGCCTGAAAAGGTTAAACAGTAGCTCTGGGTCAGCCTTTGTGAACAATGAGAAGGTACATATTCAAGGGATCTAGTGGCAGAGTGGGTCTGATCAGTAAGCAGAACTCAGGGCTCATGTGAAGAATTATTCTAGCATTCCCTCATGTCTCAGATTAACCCTGGCAATGCATGTCTGCTTTTCTTCAGACATTTTTTGCTTGTTTCAGTGCTTTCTTATGATCGGACACTTACTACCAGATAATCTCTTTGCTTGTACTTCCATGCCCATTACTTACTAGGCTGTTACTGCTGGATGTGGAAGGGCTCTACCTAAGATTCAGGGGAAGGGAGAAGCCTAAAGAGGGAATGAAGTCACACCAGTTCAGAAAAGAATTGTTATCTACAGAGAGGCTTACCAAAGTGCTAAGAAACTGAGACGGATTTTAAAAAATGGAGAATATGGATTCTTAACTGCTTTATTTTACAACATCAAAATAAGGAATTGATTCTTCATCTATTTGCAAATCTAATCTTCTTCTAGCTCCTAATCTCCCTTGTCTGCTTTCATTATAATCTGGCTGTAGTGCTATTCAACTGTGAGCAGCACTGGAAATGGAGCAGTGAGGGCAGCCTGCCCCAGAAAACTAAGGAATCCTCTTACAACACAGTTATTGAGGGCATTTGGAGGCCACTGGGACACCTGGCTTGAGTAGAGAAAACCTGACTTTTTCAAACCTCAACAATTTCTTTGGCTTCTTTTATACTAGATACTGAGAAAGGCTGACGAGCAAGGAGAGGGTGCCAAGGCTGAGACCAGACTTTGCTGTTTGTTTAGAATCTAATTCCATCAGCAGTCTTCAGCTTCTACTAGCAGATATCAAGTTGTCATCTGGGCAGTTAGTTGTTTCTCCATCTGGCAGTTATTTCTGACTTGCTGATCCAACTTTTAATTAGGATCATGTGTAATGTTAGCCTGTTCGGCGATCATAATGCTCTAGCCCTGGTTCCACGTGCTGCACTTCATTGGGGATTCTTCAGTGGTTATTTTTCTTGGGGAAACACTATTTGCTTGTACCCCATCAATATTTAGCCAGCACACTGCTAAAAGATTCTATGGATGAGCAACTTCCAATCTGTTCTCTTGGGCACCTCTCATTGAGTTCCATGAGTCACTGAGAGTCATCCGAATTGTAAAATAGAATCGTGCTCTAGGAGCTGACACCCAGCACTGACTGTGAGAGCATGTCCCCTTCAATATGAAGACTTCCCTATGTTTCCCCTTTAAAAAAACAGTGTGCACAGATTAAATTCATCCATGAAATAATGATCCAGTTTTTCTTATAGAATATTTGAGTCATAAGGGAGCAGTATTTTCTTTTATTATTTACCAACTGAGTGGCTGGGAGACATGAGGTTGTGCCCCCTGCCTGGCATGGGGGTGGGGCCAGCTGGGTTTGGATTTTGCCTAGTGGGGCATGAGTAGGTGGGCGGGGACTTGTTTCTGGGTCCCGAAGTGGGCCCCTGACTCTGATAGAAGGGAGGTTTTCATATATATTTTACTAATTTTCTTTCATTTTTGATATTTATAGGAAAAGGGCAAATAGCAATCCTATCTAATAAAAGAGTAATATGCAAATTAACCATCATTCTGCTACACCACCAGCCACACCCACCAGCCAATTAGGAGTGAGTATGTAAAATTAACCCAACCAAGATGGCTGCAGCCAGAGAAAGAGCAGAAGGGAGGCTTGGGTTTCCCTGGCGATGAAGGAAGCTAAGCTTTCTGCACACCCTGGCCAGCCTCTGCTTAAGGCTACAAAGTTTCAATTATAGAAGATAAATAAATCCCCATAAAAATGGCATCAGCCATGGAGCTGGAGAAAGCAGAAGGCTAGGGTTGCCTCCAGCAATGGAGGAAGCCGAGCTTCTGCAGCCCTGGCCTGCTTTGGCCTCTGCTTAAGGCTACAAAGTTTCAATTATAGAAGATAAATAAATCCCAACAGAAATGGTTGCCACCACAGAGCAAGCAGAAGGCTTGGCACTACTGGCTACAAAATTTCAATTGTAGAAGATAAATAAAACTCAGATACCCTATGCTTGGGTTGCTGGGGGCATGGCTGGCCTGAAAACCAACACAGGCTCCCAACCTGTGGGAACCCCCACCCTGATCCAGGACACCCTTCAGGGAAAACAAGCTGTCCCCCACCCATGCACCAGGCCTCTGTCCTATCTAATAAAAGAGTAATATGCAGATTGACCATCACTCCAACACACAAGATGACTGCCCCCATGTGGACATAAGATGGCCTCTACAAGATGGCCAGCAGGGGAGAGCAGTTGGGGAGAAACCAGGCCTGTAAGGGAGGGCAGTTGGGGGTGATCAAGCCTGCAGGGGAGGGCAGTTAGGAGTGACCAGGCCAGCAGAGGAGGGAAGTTGGGGGCGAACAGGCTGGCAGGGGAGCAATTAGACATTAATCAGGTTGGCAGGGAAGCAGTTAGACATCAATCAGGCTGGCAGGGGAGTAGTTAGGGGGTTGATCAGGCTAGCAGGCAGAAGCAGTTAGTGGCAATCAGGAAGGCAGGAAGGTGAACATTTGGGAGCCAGCAGTCTTGGATTGTGAGAGGGATCCCAGATTGGACAGGGTGCAGGCTGGGCTGAGGGACACCCCCCCACCCCACCCCCATGCATGAATTTTGTGCACCAGGCCTCTAGTATTAAAATAATTCCTTTAATTAGTTTCTTTTTAATATGCATGAACTTCATGCACCAGGACACTAGTGGATTATATAAAAATAGAAGTCTGTAATATGATAGTTGCTTGTTTTGGGCTATTTAATGAGGAAAGTGTTTGGCCTAGTGTATGTAGATCTTTAGCCTACACCTGACCTTTGACCTGCTCTCACTACTAATGCTGGTTTCATGAGTACTGAGAACCCAGAAGGTGTTCATGGTTTACAGAGGGCATTCACTTGCTCAGATGTAGTGGTTTGGAGCTCACTCTCACTCTCTCTCTTTTTCTTCTCTCTCTCTCTCTCTCTCTTTCTCTCTCTCTCTCTCTCTCAAATCTATGTAAAACTCAGTAGTAAGAAAACTAACAACCCAATTAAAAAATGAATTAAACACTTTACTTGATCAGATACTTTACCAAAGATAACCAGATAGCAGATAAATATTTGAGAAAATATTTAATATAGTTAGCATTGGGGAAATGCAAATTAAAACCATGACAAGATACCACTACATATCTATTAGAACTGCTACAATAAAAATACTGACAATCTTAAGAGCTAGTGAGAATGCTGAGCAGTTGGAAATCTCCTTTATTGCTGGTGGAAGCCTACATTGGTAGTCACTTTATGAAACAGTTTGGCAGGGCTACACTATGACTCAGTATTCCTGCTCTTGGGCATTTACTCTAGAAAAAGGAAAACATGTTCACACAAAAACTTGTACATTAATATTTATAGCAGCTCTATTAATAATCACCACTAGCTGAAAACAACCCATATGTGCTGCAGTGGATGAATGGCTAAACTGCATATTTGTACAATGGAATGTTATTGTCTGTTGGGGGTGGGAAGTGGAGGGTGTTCAGTAGGAGGCTGTCACTATGAAGTCAGAGCAGGAAGGAGTTTTTTTGAGAGGGGGAATAATGGAACTGTTCTGTTTCCTGATTGTGGTGATTATACAAATGTTCTAAAATTAATAGAAATTTACATACATACACAAAAGTCTATTTTACTATATGCTAATAACATTTTTTTTTTAATGCTGGTATTTGAAAAGCCCTATTTTCACCTCTAGTGAAAAAAAAATCTGAATTTACATTGTTTTAGGTATTTGGCCCTTTATTCATTTTCAGTGGTCTGGGAAAAGTTCTTTATAACTACCCTGTAGATCTTTTGAAGGGTACTGTTTTAGGAACTTCACCTTCAAGTTTATGCACTATTGGCTCCCTCTAGTGGACATCTTTTGTTTTAATAGTAATGCTCAGAATGTGTGCCTGTGATTTTTGTTTTTCTTTTTGTTTTTCTTTTTTTTAATCCTCACCCTGGAGAGAGAGAGAGAGAGAGAAAGAGAGAGAAAGAGAGAGAGAGAGAGAGAGAGAGAGAGAGAGAGAGAGAGAGAGAGAGAGAGAGAGAGAGAGAGAGGTGAGAAAGAAACATTGATTGGTTGACTCGTATATGAGCCCCAACCAGGGACCTGCAACTTTCTGGTGTGTGGGATGACACTCCAACCACTGAGCTGTGAGTTTGTTTTTATTCATTTCCTCAAGCCTCATGTTCTTGTCCTTTAATAGTTAGATAAGTTCCTTAGGCTTGCTAGGCATCAGTGTTTTTATCTATAAAAATACAGGGATGAACTAGACTTTTAATACATTTTTAAATTTCAAGCTTTAATGATTTCAAATATTGAGTACATAATCATGTTTTTCTTTTTTAATAATTCTTTATTGTTGAAAGTATTACATATGCTCCCTTTCCCCCCATTAACCCCCTTCAGCCTGCCCTCGCCCCTTCACTTCACTGCCCCATTGTCTGTGTCCATGGGCCATGCATATATGCATACAAGGTCCTCGGTTGATTACCTTCCACCCACCCACCCACCCTCCCCCACCTTTCCTCCGAGATTTTGCACTCTGTTCCATAATCACATGTTTTTTTTAAATCCAAGGCATTGAAGGTGACAAAAAAAGAAATATAACATGATTCTTTTCCTCCCTAACTTTGC